ATATATATATATATATATATATATATATATATATATATATATATATGTGTGTGTGTGTGTGTGTGTGTGTGTGTGAAGCAAAAAGTATCGGCACTGATGCTATAAAAAGAAAACTACGACACATATCAGTTCGGCATTTAATCTCCTTCGAAGTAGTTACATTTTGAATTCCTACATTTCATTCAGTGTCGTTACCATTGATGGTAGTATTCCTGGAACTACTTTTTTGGGAACAGAACACAGCATACGGGATTTCTTATTACACAATTATGATGATTGCAGACTCGGATCTAAAATTATAAATATACAAGCAGAAAAATGAACAAAAGCGTAAATGAGACGTTATAAAATTTTCCAATCAAAGTTCAAATAAAAAGATCGTTTTATTGCAACTGTTAAAATGATAGTAACACTGAACACTTTGATCAGATTGAAAATTATCGGTACTTTGATATATACAGTGTAACTCGGATATAAGAGACCCGGATATAAGAGAGATTTTTTCTGGTCCCAAATTAGAGACTGTGTTAATGTAAACAAAATAGACCAAACTTGGTTATAAGAGAAACCCAGATATAAGAGACTTCTTCTCCGGTCCTGACAACTCTCTTATATTCGGGTTACACTATATATATATATATATATATATATATATATATATATATATATTAATTACAGAAGAAAATCAAAAATACCTCATAGAGGGGGGTATAGATCTAATTTCAACCAACGAGAAGTCGGTTAGTCTTACACAACCCCGGTCTATATACGCTCGACCATATGAGGTAATTTTGAATTTTCTTGTGTAATTTATGAAATTTGAATTTGTGAAAATACTCAACGGCGACAGTCTGTTTCATGCTGGACGCAATCGTCAGGCCGCAGATTGCGTCCAGCGTGAAATAGCCTGTCGTCTCTGAGTGTTGACTTCAATGTTCACTTTTATATTTATATTTACATACGCTCTATCTCTGATATTGAGCATTTTATCCCATAAATATAGCACACATTAAACTATATTTTCACACACACACACACACACACGCACACAGATATATATATATATATATATATATATATATATATATATATATATATTTCAATCAGTACTAATA